CTTCGTAGTCCTCTCCCGATGCAGAACTGATCAAGGAGCAAGTCTCGAATAAGTGTTCGGTATCAACATGACGCGATGCTTCGCGCCTGAAACGCCAAATATCATATTTGTTATCCCCGGTAAGCAACGGCTCCTCAAATTTCAGGTTTTGCACACGGTGACGTTCTGGCAGGAAGTTGCTCCAGTTCACGATAGAGTGATTGTCTCTGATACTCTCGGCCAGTACGGCGCCTTCGTGGCGGGTGAGCTGCAACTTTGCCTCTCTGAATTCGTTAGCGAATACCGAGAAATCCGGGTCTGGCAGCAGTTGGTCTTCGTCAGCTTCTCGCAGCGGTATGTGGGAGATGTTTTCCAGGAGATCGTCTGCGGTATGGTCAATAGCAAGGCCATGGAAACGGGCATATTCGTGGACAGATGGTGCAGTCATTTTGAAACACGCATTCCAGTCAACTTGGACTCAATCACTTCGAATCGAAGGCGGAAAGGTGCAGGGAAGAGGAAGATCAGGACGTGAACGTCCATCTCATGTTGCCAAGCCTGAGCCTTGGGACTCAGTAGTGGTTGTTCGCTATACCTACGTATGTAGCCGTTGAAAACTTTTGCAAACACACAGACAGACATTCCTGTTGACATCTTTGTGTGCTTGTACACCCTTTAGCACTTGGTTAGTCGTTGTAGTTTGATCTTCCTGACCCATCCTTATTGGGTTGTGGCAGGCCCCATTTCTTGTTGTACTCTTCCTCCTGGGACTTCCCGGCAGGATCAAAGTATGGCTTCTCCCCAGTCACAGTTACCCGCACGCCATGTCGTCGATGGGGTTGGAAGCCGAACGTAGCGCTATGAATCGTGCACCGGTTGTCCCAGATGGCCACATCGTGCTTTCCCCATTGAAGACGCACGTGCGCCTCCTGGGTCGTGGTGATGAGTTCGTTGAGGTATCGAATAATGGCGTCGCTCTCGGCCCTGGGGACACCAACGATCTTTTTGACGAAGCCTGGATTGAAAAATAGGCACTTCCACCCAGTGACCGGGTTGACACGGATCAGGGGGTGTTCGGTGGTCACAGGTTCGCGCCGTACGGGTCTCCCAGCTGCACGAGATCCTTGGGCTTGCTCCTCTGCCGAGTGGAGTGCCGTCAGGCTTTCGAGATATTTCTGCATTGGTGCTGACAGAACATCGTAGATGGCATACTGCGAGCACCAGAGAGTGTCGCCTCCACCACCTCGTGGTGGACCGCTCAATACTTTGAGAGAGGTATATGACGGAGGCTGGACTTCATAGCTCACCTTGGATCCATGTCAGTATATATCACTTGACAATGAGTTGGGGTCCGTCTTACATCCGAGTGCCACAGATACGTCGGCGTAAAGAGAGCACGTTGGTCCAACGATTGCTCTGTCGTGTAGATGACATGGACATCTTCAAGCCCTTCTTTCTCGGGCACCGAAGTCGTAGCATGTCGGTGGAGCGTGCCGAAGAACTTTCCCAGCTCCCTCTGCGCCTCGATGTCGAAATCTTCCTGGTTACGGAAGAAGACGACCCCACGCGTTGCGACAAGCCGTGCCAGATCACACTTTTGCGCGTCGGTGAGCTGGGTCAGCTTGATGCCAGTGATCTCCGTGCCTATCTTTGGGATGTAGTCAAACACGTCTTCAGCAGCGTCAAGAAGGTTCCGAAACCGCGGATCTCCAAGGAGGCCTTTGTCTTCATAAGGGATATCCTTCAGCGCGTCCCAATGGAGATCAGGGAAGCGTGGACGAAGGGAATCATAGGGATAAAATTCATGGCCGTCTGGTTGCACATGACCTGGTTCGTATATCTCTGACAGCTTGGTTTCGAACTTGGCAGTACTGGTGATAGACTCGCTGTCTAACGAAGGCGCTGTATCCGGGGCCTTCGTCTTCAGTGGACTGGCTGAGTATGGCTGATAGTCCAACAAGGTAGGTTCCTCAGCGTGAGGCGCCATTTTGCAGCAGTCCAAGTCACCAGTGCGTAGTCAGGAACAAAGCTGGTAACCAGAGTGGAAGCCGGGTTGTAGATCAGGCAAGTTTCGAGTCTGATATAGCCATTCTCCATTTCTATACTGACCGAGGATTGCTATTTTCGAGCTAGAATTGCCTCATCGCGTGGCAAACACGCCGAGGTGCTCTCCATGCTTCCCTGTCTCCTGCGGCCCCATCCCACATACCATGACCGTATAGGCTGCCGTCCAATTGCTCCTTGTGACGAACTAGGCTCACCTTTTCGCCCAGTCCTGGTGGGCTTTGTCTAAATTCTTGAATCTAGTCTACCCTGACTTTGTACAATAGATCTTTCCGAAGGGTTCTTGTCCTGATTATCGTGTTGCGATAATATGACTATCAAAGAAGATGGTTGATTGCGGTCGGGGGCGGATCTTCCGCGCGAGGAACAACGCATGTTGATTGGCTCGGGAGGATTGCGAATGGCCCACCCCAGACGAGCACGCAAAGAATCAGCTTCGTGTCGTCAATCTGGGCGGAATGGATACTGGACTGATTTCCTCTGTAACGTCGACTCTTTTGAAGGGGCGTGACGCTGACTGCGATGTCTCAGATGAGGGGCTGCCGGGTTGGTCGGTGCCTGGGAAATACTTGGTCTGTAGGTGAAGTTCCTTTGCAGGTGTGAATCTATGTATGTATGTACTCGGTACTCTCTATGACTTCTTCCCAAAATGAACAAACACAGAAGGCCTGCGGACTCAAAGACCACCCGCTCTATATCACCTTGACACTCCCGAAGCCCATGCCTTCCCAGGCACAAACACCTCCAAACCAACACGTCCGATAGACTCCCCTGCCATCTCTCTGTTTCGTCCCATCTACCATAAAACGCCGCAGAGTTGCTTCAGAATTCCTCTGAGACCCCTACTCCATTTCAATCGTGCCAGGAGGCTTGCTCGTAACGTCGTACAATACACGGCATACACCATCAACTTCATTGACGATTCGGTTACTGACACGCTTGAGGAAGTTGCCATCAAAGGGAAACCAGTCAGCCGTCATGAAGTCAGTTGTCTCGACAGCTCGCAGGGCTATCACTTGAGCATGCACTCTCTTGTCACCCATGACACCCACGGCTTTGACGGGCAGAAGCGCGGCAAACGCTTGCGAGATTTTCCGATATAATCCAGCAGAGACAATCTCATCGATAAAGATTTTGTCTGCATGTCGAGCAATCTTAAGTTGTGATTCGTTAACCTCACCAAGAATCCGAATTGCCAGGCCAGGGCCGGGAAATGGATGTCTCCAGACGAGATCTTCGGGTATGCCCAGATTGGTGCCCAAAGCCCTCACCTCATCTTTGAACAACTCTCTCAGAGGCTCAATCAACTTCAGATGCATGTTCTCCAAAAGACCTCCAACGTTATGGTGAGTCTTGATCGTGGCAGATGGCCCCTTAAACGAGATGCTCTCAATGACGTCGGGGTAGAGTGTGCCTTGAAGCAACCACTCGATGTCGCCAGCTCGGGAAGAGTTTGCTGCAGCCTCAGCGATTGCTTTTGCCTTGTCCTGGAACACTTCAATGAAGGTGTTGCCTATGATTTTTCGCTTTGTTTCAGGATCAGAGACCCCTTTGAGTCGGCCCAAGAACAGGTCCGCAGCGTCGACAACCGTCAAATTGATACCAAGATGCCTCGTCAATGTCTCCTTGACTGTTTCTGCTTCATTCAGACGAAGAACACCATTGTCAACCAAGACTGCATGGAACCGATCTCCGATGGCCTCTTGCATAAGTTTGGCTGCAACAGTGGAATCGACTCCACCACTTACGGCTCCAATCACTTGACCTTTGGGACCAACCATGGCTCGAATGCGTTCAATTTCCTTGTCGACGAACTTCTCCATAGTCCAGTCTTGCCGAGCCTGGCAGATCTTGACGGCGAAGTTGCTCAGAATTTGTGTACCGCGCGGCGTGTGCGTGACCTCGGGGTGGAACTGGATGCCGAAGTACGGCTTGGACATGCTAGCGATTCCAGCGAACGGTGCATTGGCTGTACTCGCAATGGGGTGGAAGTTGTCAGGGAGCTTTGACAACTTGTCTCCGTGACTCATCCAGACCTCGATATCATCTTCAATGCCTTCGAAAAGGCGATCGATGTGCTCTTCCTTGCCCGTATGTCTCTCGATTTTGACTATCGCATGCCCGTACTCTCTCTTCTCCCCCGCCAACACGTTTTTGCCAAAATGCCACGCCATCTCTTGCAGTCCATAGCATATCCCTAGGATGGGTACACCGAGATCGAACGCCGCAGGGTCAACATGCGGTGCGCCATCCTCGTACACTGAGTAGGGGCCCCCTGATAAAATGATACCCTTTGGTTGAAAGTGCAAGTCCGCGATCTTTTGAGTGCATGGCAGCATCTCCGAATAGACGTTGAGCTCGCGCAGTCGGCGTGTTATCAGGTGCGAATATTGAGATCTTGAACCAGTCGTAAGTTGGTGCGTTTGGAGGATAGGGTAGGGGAAATCTGCGACTTACCCAAAGTCGAGAACGAGGATGGTGTCGAATGTCTTCGCAGGGACATTGACTGCGGCGCCATTGACCTCGCCATTGATGTTGACAGCCATGACGACCGCGGGAGAGGGTCGAATGGGCACAAGAGATATCAGGGACTGAGGCGCAAGAGAGAATCTGAATGGAAATATGAGTCCGCTGCGACCAAGGTGGGCTGGCCAAAAATTTTGTGGGGATGGAAATTATTATGTGAAATGCCCCGCTGAGGAGAATTTGATGCGTAGAGGCCGCATCGTGCGTACGGCGACATACTCGACAAACTACCAGATGGGTTCATTTTAGACAAAACTGTGTTGTCCAAGCATCGCGGCGCATACCGAAAGGCTTTGAGCAGCCGTCGACACATAGCCGCACATCTACAAGGCAATCTGCCACCTACCACTTGTCCCCGCGACGAGGGTCGTGAGATCCAAGAGCAGACGCTTTCACGGATTCCATAGACGGGGACCACGACCGCCGCAAATATGAGCAAGAGGAAGCAGGAGACCGGTGAAGATGTCGTCAAGGACGACGTGGACATGGACAACGATAGCGGAGACGACGAGGTCTGTTCGTTTTACTGGAATGGACAATGAGCGGCTACTGATTCTTGATGTAGGATTTCGATGTTCTCGATGTCGACTTCGAGTGGTTCGACCCTCAGCCTGAATATGATTTCCACGGCATCAAGACATTACTTCAGCAGCTGTTCGATGTGGACGCTCAGCTATTCGATTTGTCTGCATTGACCGACCTGATATTGTCGCAACCCACCCTGGGTTCAACGGTCAAAGTAGATGGTAACGAGACGGACGCATACGCCTTTCTATCCATTTTGAATCTTCAAGAACACAGGGTTAGTTCTTTTCGGACAAGGGAGCATCAGGCAGTCATACTAAGAGAAACACAGGACAAGCCGTTCATGAGCAAGATCGTGCAATATTTACTCTCTAAAGCAAAGTCAAGACCCATGCTCGCTCCCCTGGCTGAGCTCCTTTCCCAGACCACGATTCCACAGATAGGCCTGATCCTTACCGAGCGTCTGATCAATGTTCCGGCTGAAGTTGTCCCTCCAATGTACACAATGCTGATAGAAGAGATGGAATGGGCTATCCAAGACGGCGAACCCTACAACTTCACCCACTATCTCATCCTCTCCAAGACATACACCGAAGTTGCGTCGAAACTTGACGCCGAGAACGATCCTCCGAAAAAGAAGAAGAAAGCAACATCCGGCTCATTCGAGACAATGTACTTCCATCCGGAGGACGAGATCCTGCACAGACATGCCATCTGCCATAGCGGCTTTGATTACACGACCAAACAGGACGAGGGGCACTCGGACTCGAAACGAGCATTCCAAGAGCTGGGAATTAAACCGCAGGGCCATGCCATCCTCATTGCTGGGGACAAGTTTAAAGATGCCGTCCAGAATGTGGCCGAATATCTGAAACCCCAGCCTCAAACGTGAGCAAGCATGTTCATTCCCACTGGGTTCCTTTGAGCCTCTGCATAAGATATTCCACTTCGACAACTTTGGTCAGGGGAATAACAACTTGAGCATACATCTTCACCACAGCCTCGACGTTGATCTTTTCCTCTCCGCCTGCACCGTTGGTCGTGACCGAAGGATCTTTGCCATAAGTCTTAGCCTTCAATCGCAGCCGCTCCAGGACTTGTTGCTCGACCTTTTCATTGGTGATGGCAGCATCGATACCCTCACGATCCTCGGCTTTAATGAGCTTGACAAACCGCTCCGTCTCCGCCTGGAACTTGCTCTCGGCCACGAATTTGCCAAAATGTATCCGCCTGCTCAAGGCCTGCAAACAGGCGACATCACAAGTTGCGGCACTGCCATAGTTCTCTTTCGTCTCGCCACGGTCTTCCCGCCCGAACTTTCGGCAAGCTTCTGGTAAAACTTCCTTGATATATTTCTCTTTGATGGTGTCATTAACATTGACATCGTTATCGTGGAGGATCTTGGGGTACGCTATGGCCTTGAGCATAGGTCGTTGTAGGACTTGGGGAAAGAAGGGATATTCGTCCGGTGCATCATATCGGCGAATAGTGGAGTGTAGACGTTCAGTTTCGGAGAGAAGATAGTCACAGAGAGAGATCTGCGCAGGTAAAGCTAGATTGCTGGAAGGTATGGGCAGCGCGACGGCATCGTAAATGGTTGCGTTGAGGGGAAACTGAACTCGCTCGATCAGGTGAAATGTGATGGTATCCTCGAGTCGGCTGAACTTTGGTTAGTATGACTTTGTCTCTGTAGGCTGGGTATTCAGGCACGAACATCAATTGAAAGCGTATATTGGCCAAATCCAAAGCCTTCGAGGCATCCGACAGGTCTATCGCTGTATCCATATCCAAAAGCGGCATATGTTGGGATCGCGTGCGGAATATGTTCGGGTTCCGCGCAATATACTGCCGAGAACCACTCTGGGAGACGCTACAGGAAACAGAAAATTGGAAGAGAACCTGGCAGGGTATTTAAAAGGATTAAAGAAGAGGTATTTCCCCGGTCAGCAGGTAAGCAAGTAAGCAGATGGAATCCAAAGCAATATGCGATGATATCCGAAGTGGGCGAAGGAACGTTCGTTCGGATTTACTCTGGGAAAAAAATACGTCAGAGTTTCGCAGCTCCGACTTCGCGTCCCCGAAATCCAAGACGCACCTAACAACCAACTATACGATCTTCACTCCGCATTTTGCACCATAGTCTTGCAGAGCCTCAGGCTTCAGTGTGCCTAGCTGCATTTCACCTCTCTTTTGTCCAGCTTCGATCTGTGTAATTTTAGTGACGCCCAAGGCGATCGAACTGCATGGCCGGATCGCGGCCGCACAGTCGTACTCCCTCCCAAACTCGCAGGCCAGCTGGAGATGGAGACGATTCAGTTCTCGGCACGGTCCTTGACGTGAGAGATCCATACCATCATGGTGATAATAGACTGACTTCCTGGCGAAAGACGCGCCAGCTGGAGGCCTTCAGTCGGAAGGTCACAGCGACCGCAAGCCACCTTATGGGAGACAATAATGCCGCGCACTACCCGGCGGCGATGAACAGCATCTCCCGCCAGATGCGACGCCCCGGCATTCAGAGAGCTGTATTCTCCTTTTCCCAGCAGGCGCCTTCTGAGCTCGTCAGAGCGAAACTGTCGACCAGCGAAATTGCGCATCGTGCTCTTACCTACATCTCCGAAGAACAACTGCAAAATATTCCCGAAGCCGAAAATACCTACTCCTTATTTCAAGGGTTTCAAGCATCTCTACCTGAAGGCGAATCCGAACATCGAAAAGGACACCGACGGCGGAGCTCCAAGCAACACAGGCTTTTGGGTGCTGGAGATGTTGAAGAGGATGGCCCTCCGTCAATACACCACCTCAAGAAGAAGAGGAACAGTGTCAACCACAGGTTGGAGATGATGGCAATACGCAAAAACATGTGCACCACAGAGATTCGAGACATTGACAACAAAATTGGCAACCTGATCAATATGCGGAAGCTCGCTCTCGAGAGATTGGCCGACCTTGAAAATGATGAAGCCGAGGTTGAGCATGAGCTGCTTGAACTTGACAACAAAATCGAAGAAATGCAAGAGGAACTCGAGGAGCAAGGGGCAATGGACCAGTCTACTAGCACCCTCAACGCTCCTCGCGTAGACACCCCCGAGTCTGAAGCCATGGATGCCTCCTTCATGTCCCAATCCATCTACGACAAATTGCCCTCCTCCACGTCACCGAAGTCAAAGCGCCGGCCCAAATATTCTAAGAGAAGATCCATGCCGGTTCTACACGAGCACCTGGAACCCGGCTCACAAATCAAAACCATTCCCGCTCATAATGACTCAATATCTGCTATAGACTTTGACCAGCCATTCGGAACCATGGTCACTGCAGCACAGGACGATACGGTGCGCGTTTGGGACCTGAATCTTGGCCGCTGCATGGGCTTTCTGGAAGGCCACACCGCGTCCGTTCGCTGCTTACAGGTCGAAGACAACATTGTGGCAACAGGCAGCCTTGATGCCACGATCCGTCTGTGGGATCTGAGTCGTGCCAAATACGAACCCTATGAACACAAAATACTCGAAAACGGCGACGACGACAAGGCCGATGAAGATGACGGCCTTGGCTTTGGCAATGAAGGTGAAGACGCGCCCCCTCCACCACCTCCTGATGCGATGGAAGAGTGTCCGCTTTTCGTGCTTGAGGCTCACGTCGATGAAATCACTGCATTGCACCTTCGCGGTGACATGCTGGTCTCGGGATCAGCCGATAAGACGCTGCGGCAGTGGGATTTGGTGAAAGGCCGGTGTGTCCAGACGCTTGATGTCTTGTGGGCCGCAGCTCAGGCGAACTCGACAGTAGATAGCACAGAAACACAATGGCGGCCAACTGGAAGATCTGCAGATTCGAATGCCGACTTTGTTGGGGCTCTACAATGTTTTGACGCAGCGCTAGCCTGCGGTACAGCCGATGGAATGGTCCGACTCTGGGATCTCAGAAGCGGACAAGTCCATAGGAGTCTTGTGGGCCATACAGGACCAGTGACATGCCTGCAGTTCGACGATACTCATCTTGTTACAGGTAGCACTGACAGGAGTATCAGAGTAAGTTTGCGACATTTCTGCAAATGGCCAGCGGAAAAGACTAACATGCGCAACAGATATGGGACCTCCGCACAGGGACGATTTTTGACGCGTATGCCTACGACTCGCCGATCACCAGTATGATGTTCGATTCCCGACACATTGTCTGCGCCGCCGGCGAGGACGTCGTCAAAGTCTATGACAAGGCTGATGGCCGTCATTGGGATTGCGGTGTTGGTGCCAACACGAGCGTTGAGGATCGGATGGCTGGCACTAAGACGAGTATTGTGGATCGCGTCAGGCTGAAAGATGGCTACCTGATCGAGGGAAGGAGAAATGGAGAAGTTGGAGTCTGGAAGTGTTGATGCAAATAGAGCGGTATCAGGCGACGCTGCTCAAGATCAACACTCGAGGCTTGTGAAGATTCGACTGATATCCGATGTCCTAACAAAAGTCTTGACTAAACTTTGAGAACAGCCATACTCTCCCATGCAGCGATTGGGAATCTAAGACATTATGCCCTGGTGGCGGAAATCGCAATATCATCGATGATCTTACAGCCGTGTGTCAATAGGAGTCGATCTATATCTATTCCAACTTGAGCCTGGTGTCGCCGCTCATGCAGAAAGAGAGAGAGAGAGAGACCTCCTTATCTATGTACAAACATCAACAATACATATCTCTTGATTCAAATCTGTGGTGATTTGTCCTCCGAGCTCTCTATGTCGAGTCCTCTCCTCCAAAGCCACCAGTATTCCAACTAGATTTCCCTAATTTTTCTCCACAACCTCTGGTGCTCACCACAGCCTTGACTTCAGAAGAATGTCCCTATTGGGCTTCGCGGATTGCCGCTTCCAGTGGGTGTTGGTTCGATTGTTTCCGGTGTCATTGGTCGTTGGCTGGCCGTGGGATGTTTTCCACCAACATCGGCGTCTTCCATATCTGCTCCTCGACCCGCTTCTCCGCCCGCATCAGCGCCAGTCTGCTGGTATATGTCCAGTAGGGGCAATTGCTATGCCTGGGCGCCTCGGTCGCAACAGCTTGCTCCAGCTGTCGATATGCGTCCCTGCACCGAAAGAAAGCCCTACTGTCTGCTTCCTCGACAGGAAGCGACCCCTCCCATTGCCTGTCTACAGCGTCAACGATGGCGACGACTCTGGCAGCAATCTCCTCACAGCGGTCGAGTCGGTCAAGGAGCCTTGCCTTGCGTTGCTCCAAGGTAGGCTCTTGTGGCCGGTGTCTTTCACCACAGCGCATCTCCATCTCAAACAACGGCGCAACATAGAGTTGCAAGAACTCTTTGTTGTTGAGAGGATAGGGAAGTCTTTGCGACGCCTGATCCTCTCCCATGCCAAGAGCCTCGAGAACGGGGCATTTGCTGACGGGGCTTCCCTCGAAATCGACCACCTGCAAGAGGGCGGAGGTCTCACCCTCGCGGACTGCCCCGGTGCGTTCCTGGAAAGCACCCTCAACTTGCTTCTGGCCAGACTGGTTCGCCCTGTCCGATGCCGTTGGTTCTGCGCCGTCGACCGCCGGCCTGATGTTTGACTCTGGGAAGGACGTCGGGACTGGGACACTTTGCTTGAGGTCGGCGATGGCCTCCGGAGTTGACCTGCGTGTCTCTGGCTGCGTGTCCTTGTCCATAACTCTCCAACTACTTCTCTCCTGCTGGACCGCCTTCAATACCACGCGTCTGCGATGCGCGATATTCTCCATCGTCGCCGCCAGCCTGTCATCGGCAGGCTTTTCTATTCGCCCGCGTGTGCTCCCTGGCACGTGCCCCAACTTTATGGCCTCGAGATCGAGGTCGACCTCGGAACTGTCCAGCGGCTTGATGTGTTGCGAGTATTCTAGGCTTTGGTATACTTGTGCAGGGGTGGTCGATGGCTTTCTTGCGGCCGGCCGCTTCGCCTTCTTGCCTGAAGTCGATCGTCGAGGAGCCATTACGAGGTGATGGCGGTGAGTGAGTGGTGAGGGGGGAGAGAGTGCGCTGTTGATACAATGATGTAACAAGCAAGGTCGTGCCTGTGAAAGGACCGTATGTCAAAGGGACGTTGTACTATATGTCTGTGGGAGTGGTGTACGTGCAGGACAATGACAGCTGCTGAGCACTTCGAGCTGGCCGGTATCCGGTTTATATTCTTCAAGACAGGTCCTCGTAGTTTACTCACTCTCAGCCTAGAGAGGACATGTTTGGACTGAGCACAGACTTTACCACGCCCATAAGCACGTACCCAGACCTATTCTCATTGTTTTGGTTCCATCTGACGTGACCTTTGTTGGCCATTGTGCCGAATGAATGAATGAGACCTTGACAGTGGAGTCTCCAGTACATTTCATACTGAATTTTTTTCTTTCTTTTTGCGAGGACCTTTGAGAGAGACGGCACAAATAGCTTTGTTCTCGATCCTTTGATCCATACATCGAGGAACACAAGTCTTTCAAGGCCTGATTACCTTGTTCGGTGGTCGAGTCTAAATGTACCGTATTGGGTTAGTGGCGGGCTGCCAAGTCAAGCTGTGATTGGATCCCGAGAACTGCAAGGCTGTGGATGGAAAGGAGAGGTGGAGTGCCGGGTTCATTCTCTGCAGACCTCCCGTTACATCTGTTGCGCATAGCTCCACAGTGTCTCCTCCAGGTTGTTGTGTTGAAACGGTCGCCGCACAACCACATCTTCCAGCATCTGCAGTACCTGCAGTTCGCGCCCGATGCTCATGACACCCGCCTCTACCCCACCCAGCTTCCCAAAATTCCGCCGTGCTCCTGTTGCCCCCGCGGCCATTGCAGCGTCTCGCTCGAGCCCCAACTGAATGTGGCATTCTGTTGTGCTTCTCGTGCACCTGGAGTAGGATGCACCTGTCACCGAAGGACGGTTCCAGAGGATAGCTTGGAAGGAACTAGGGAGGGTGCGCATCAGATACGACACGCCTGCGTTGCCAACGGGGTCTCCTTCTGCCAACCCTCGAAACTCATCTTCGCCATGATCTTGTCCCCCTTCCTGCGCGAGTTCCCGCCTGTTCCACCTCTCCTGCATCGACCACGCTTCCGGCCTCTTCCCTTTCCACTGCCGATTCTCCTTCACCTCCCGCGTGAGGTTCTCCCTTGCACTGTCAAGGGTAGCGTCTGAGTTGTACCCAGAGTCCTTCGGGCTGTCACTCTCAGCTACCTCGTCCAGTGACTTGAGGACAGCGACGGGTACTCGCCATACACAACGGTAGTGGCAGCTCGTCATGCTTTTCGCGCTCGTTGGCCAGATCTCGAGCCTCATTTCTGCGAGGCGCTCTCCTTGCCCCACCCTCTTTTCGACAACTAGTCTCTCGGACCGAATCATCACCAACCAATGTCGCCATTCCTGCGAAAGGGCCGAGAGAGGGAGGTCACCCTGATAGTGCAGGATGTAATACCATGACCTCGCTTCCTGGTTATACAGCTTGTGGAGGAAGCTGTGATGACCGGCAGTAGTGAAGAGGGACATCCACGCTTCAAGCGATAGACGACTGTGGTTGACATTGTCGGATGCTGCTGAGCAGTTGTCCAATGATTGTGCTGTAATTGTTACTGTGGGTGGGAAGCTCGCCATGGTTGACGAGGTTGTTTGTGTTTGTTGGGGATCCGTCGGGAAGGAGAAGCGAGATATATTAGACCTTCACTTGAACTCGGCTGAAAGGAGGACGCTGCGTAGAGTGCTACATCTTGCAAGAGTGTGGCATATGGTCTGCCTATATGCTGGAGGAATGAGGACTTTCAGGTGTAAGGAAGGAAAGGTCCTGCCTCGAAAGTAAGTCCTCACCCCTTTCGATGGTTTGAGGACCTACATACCCCGTCGTCAGTCTCTGGGAGGCAACCCTCGCCAAACGTTAACCTAGTCTCTGAGGACCTACCAGACCATATTCGAATATATCAAATGGCGACCGCCCAGCAAAAAATCTAGCTACGTTTACAACAAAAGTGTACTGGTTACCTTTGGAGGCCTCCTCAACATCTTCCCAAGACCGAAACTCGACAACCCTCTTTGATCTGAACGCCACATCGCCTTCTATTCCTCTATTCCACACCTCTGTTCCTCATCAGTCTCAACAATGGCCACCACTACTAGGAACAGCAACGCCTCCAGCGCGGACAGCTCCCGGTCTACGCCAAGGACTGCAGAAGAGGAAGCAGCTGTACTGTCGCTTTGCGACTTCTGGATCCGGGCGCGGGAGGAGCACAGTGCCGCCTTGGCCTTGCAACAGATGCGCACCAAGGGTGCATATCTACAAACTGCCAAGGGCTGGCACTACGTGTCTACAGTAGGGGGAGTGGAAGGGTGCCTGTCAGACGACACCGAGAGTGAGGCCGAGGAGTTGAGAGCGGCGTTGGACAACTGGCGGTCATCATCGAAGAGCCTGTCACCTTCGAAGAGCCTGTCACCTTCGAAGAGCCTGTCACCATCGAAGAGCCTGTCACCATCGAAGAGCCTGTCACCATCGAAGAGCCTGTCATCATCGAAGAGCCTGTCATCACCGAAGAGGCTGGACCCAAAGGCCTCCTCCTCGCACACACCGGCTGGGAGAGTCAATGGCAAGGCCGAGGCACGGTTTCCTGCGACCAGCACCCCCAGAGGCAATAGAGGAAACAAACTGCCGCCTCTATCCGATCTTGCAAGGTCGACAAGGTCCGCCGGCGTCAACAAGGGTGGTGCGACCCCGACAGCAAAGAGTAGAGTGGCAAAGGCGGCCCTCTCCAAGCAAGTGTTCCAGATGAGCCTGAGGCCCTCCAACGAGATCAAGTCTGCTCGGATCCGTGCGCTCCTGTGTAAGGTGAGGCCCTGACCAGGCATGGAAGGGTGAGAGTGGAATAATCTTCACCATGAAGTGGATAGATAATCTATCTCTCACTTGGTCCTTCAACTATTTATGCAACTAACAGTGGTTGGGGACGGAGTTGGTTGTGCTCCAATACAACGTCGGGTTCTCAGGGTGATGTAGCAATTTGTCTCGATAGATGGATAAGACAGTGGACAGGATAGTGAACGTGAGGTAGAACGGACACACCCTAACCATCCCATGTATACATGTAGACATATCCCGAACCTTGCGTTCTTTGAGCATACATTCATTTTGAACCGCGTCATCACGGTAGAATCTTTTCTCGAGTGTCGTAGTCGTCTCATGGAATTGCATTTCACTTTCACTTTGTACTGCACTGCATTGCACTGTCTTTGATGGATCTGGGGACAGTGACGAGTGACCAAAGGGCTGGGGAGAGAAGGGCGTCATGGATGAAACTCTTAGTTGGAAGCAGAGGATCTCTTTCATCTTCGTCGACGAGAGACAGACAGTGATGTTGGAGAAAGGAACAGAGGAGTGAAGGAAGGAACATGGGACATGTGTGTACAGAAAGCATCGGCATTCTTCCGCCGTCCCCATGTCTCGGGGAGTCAGTCCTCTGAACGGACTCGGAGAAGAACAAAAGAACTACCTGTTCGCACCACTACCACGAAAAGGAGTCCTCGACCAGCTTGACCTTGAGACCCTTCTTCCTCCTTGCAATCACGCACACCGCGTTCCTCACGTCGTCTGCCATGCCGTCCGGACCGCTCACGACGACGGCGACGGCGCAATCGTTGCCCACGACGGGAGAAGCGCCCAGCTCTCGCTCGAGTTCTTCGCGTACGTTCATGCGTTTGCCGACGAAGACTTGTTTCTCAACTCCTGCCAACTGAGCCTCCATAGCCTCGGCGAGCGACGGAGTGCGCATGCCCCACAGAAGCTTGGTTCGGCCTGGGTGGCTGCGCAGGAGTGGTAGGACCGTGGTGATCCCGACGCCGCCAGCGACGCAGATCAGCGTTGGATAGTCTGAGAGATCGGAGGGGTGTCCGTACCCGGGCTCGACCAGGACTGGGATTCGGCTTTGTGAGCGCAGGATCGAGGTGAGACCGCCGCGGGTGCGGAGGAGAAAGGTCATGGCCAATTTGGGCGGCTGGGGCTGGTGCTCGTCAAGTTCTCCGTCACTGGAGTGATCGGAGCTGAGGGCGGCGCCCGCCGTCGAGCTGCCGCCATCCTTTTCAACATCGGCCATCAAGGGTTTCACATTCGCCTTCGACGCGGATGGTTCGCGGGAGGTATTGAGGATGGTCGATGCGACTGAGAACGGATGATTCTCCCACACCCGCCAAGTCAGCGTGGGGAAGTAAAGGTAAGCATGGCCGTTGCCGCCGACACCTTCAATGTCGACGCGGACGTAGTCGTCGTCGATAATGGTGACCTTTGCGTAACGAAAACCAGCACGAACAAACCGGCCGACCCGGAGGAGACGATCGAATACCCAGACAGCAATTGCGACGTAGATCCAAACTTCGTAGCCCCATTGATGACCGAACCGATCATAGATGTGCAGGTAGCATCCCACGACAACCAGGACGGAGACGGCAATGTGCCATAAGAGGAAAGCCTCGTATAGCATCCGACGGAGCGGCAGGATCGACATCGGAAGCAAAATCGACATGCCTATGGTGGCGATGGCTCCCCAGTACCAGTATGGAAGTTTACTTTCGCTGGAGTGCTCGCCATCCACATTGTAGATGTAAAGGTAGATGAGAGAGTGCACAATAGCCTGGAGAGTGGCGATGCCTGCGACATAGCGGTGCAATAACATGAAGGTATCGTGGCTCCAGTTGGTCAACCACAGCAGGACGTTGTTTCGGCCAGCGTATAGAATGAGCAGGGGGATGTTGGCGAAACTGAGCACACCGGTTCGGTTAGTCACATAGGTCAGGATCTCGCGGTCTCGATCGTTGAGCCACCAGCCATTTGGTTGTCTGGAAGAGTACCCGGTGGCGCAGAGAAGGAGATTGACAATTGTCAGGTACGCGATGAACAGGGCCTGTCCTCGAGTTGGCATATTGGTCAGTCCCCACAATATGGGCACTTTGTGATGTCGGCCGATCGCAGGAGGGTCGATTACCCAAGCGTTGAAGAGGGTGACCCAACGTCCTGGGAAAGGCAGAAAACGAAGGAGTGAGAAGCCGACGGGAATAACGACTCCAGAAAGGAAGACCACTAGTCTGTACTCGATGTCAGAGAGAGGTTGTAACCAGAAGGAGAATATCAATATGCAAACTCACCCGTAACGCTCGTGCAGGATCTCGATGTGCTCGAATATCGTATTGGCGTTCCAGTTTGGTTGATAGTCTTCGATAGACACCAACATTGTCCGATTCAGGGCATCACCCGCCACTAGGGTTTCCGTTGGCAGAGTGGTCACCTTGGCCAATGCCTCAGCATATGACTCCTTCGGGTCTGGCTGGACAGCAGCACTGCCAACAACATTCATTGCCCACCATTTTTCAATTTGCCAGTCCTTGAGGTTATATTCATTGGGGTCGTTGGGACAGCGCTGGTGAATGCAGAGGGCCAGCGACTGAAGGAAGGCATCGTCAGTGGCATAGCACTCGGGCATGGTCATGAAGTCGCCGCCACCGCCCATGTCCATTCCGCCCATGTCGTCCATCTCCATGACTTCGGAGCAATTGAGCCGGCTCCCGGACAACACATTGCGGCACGACGTGCAACAGTAAGGAAAGTACATATTGATGCCATAGCCAATGAGACCATGTCCAGCACGACCTGAGGATGTCATGCATTGTGCAGTGAGAAAATAAGTGCTGGTGAACAGCAGGGCCACCAGGCGAGAGGGGACCTTCATCCTGACTTTGAGGAGCACGAAACTTTGCGGAACTTCCTTTGACACTTACTCATGGTCACATAGAAGGACTTTATACCTGGGAATTTGATTGACTGAACGATAACATACATCGGGCCTTTGTGTGTCGAGGATGAGCGAGGACCCAGAGACTCTCACCTCAAGAGCCAATGAACATTGGGGAGATTCGAAAGGGATGCCAGTATTGGGGTCGGCCAGACCCGCGGAGAAGGGCACGCTGGAAAGAGGAAAAGTCTTGCCCTCGCTCCCACGGGTCAAGCTGTCTATGACTGGCGATTGCGAAACTTGCTCAACCCACTTCCACTGGCTGGTGGGCAGCGATCGCTCCAAGTCTTGTTGCTTGGCATCCCGCCCTTCGGGTTCTGCTGCAACGGTAGGGGCCCATATTGGTGGCCCATTCCTGGATTTGCTGATCACAGAGGATTTGAGATCACTGGTGTGAAGGGCAAAGTCTTTGGATGTCCTGGTGGCACTTTCGAGTCGGATTGATTGACACTAACTACTTGAGGAATAGGGACAGATCCGTCTAACCTTCTGAATAGAGGCTTAATAACGTGCTCCTTCCCCTGGAAAACCTTGGCGGTGCCATAATCGGACTAGCGCAGGACAAAGCTCCATACCTCCCGACTATCCAACGACACCGCTCAATCGGAAGAGCGAATCGCAAAATAATGCGAGAAAATACAACAAATCTGCGTGACGAAGGCACGAGAAGTACTACTTCGAATTGTATTGCAGGCTGAAACCTCCCGACTCTGGCCCGGAAATCTGCACCATCAGGACGGGCAATGGACCTCGCGATAAGCTTCACCCAGAGCCTTGGGGTTCGGCAGAGGTACAACATGTCTACGGGCATATTCGGTCGGAAGAATGAGGCAACACAGCGTGTAAGGGTGGAATGAGAGCAAGTATTTGGAGTCTCTGTCGCTTGTGTCTACCGACGAGGAGGTATGCAGATGTGAGGGTTCTCGGCCATGTATCCAATCACAGAATCTCTCGCTAGCTGCCCAGACACGGCCATCCACGCCGCGCTATCAGAAACTTGCTCAAAAACAGGGTCCCTTTCTGGACCAGTCTCGCGTGGTACTGCTAAAGGTGGGATGATTGTCCCGCTCCTAAAAAGTTTTGCTGGATGAGTATCAAACAAGATCTCATGGCTTGTTGTTCTGTTCACGAGGATTATTGTTAAAGCCGCACTCTCTGCCGCCGACGGTTGGAGTGAAAACAATCTCACACTTTACACACTCTCACGTCTCTTGTCAAGTTTCTCTACCTCATCATTGTCTCGCCGATTCAAACATGGATATGGGAACCATGTCAATGTCAATGGCCAGCACAGGCACCATGACAGCCTCTGCGGCCGCCGCGACGACCTCCGCCCATGATATGGGAGGGATGGACATGGGTGCCAACTCGTGCAAAATCTCCATGACATGGAACTGGTACACTGTGGGAGCTTGTCAGTAACACGGGCTTTGGGGGGTTTTCAATCGCTAACACGATGGCGCAGGCTTCATCTCTCAGGACTGGCAAATCACCTCCGGGGGCATGTTTGCAGGCTCCTGCATCGGCGTCATCTGCCTGGTCATCTCCCTCGAGTTTCTTCGCAGGCTCGGACGCGAGTATGATGCCTGGATTGCAAAGCGCGACCGCAAGCTCCTTTCTGCCGCCGCAGCCACTCGATCTCACACCGAAGATAGTTCATCCTCGAACCACGAGGCTGGAAATGGCAAACAACCCTCACCCAGCTCGCAGCTTGTGGATCGGACGGTGTACCAACGGCCGCGAGTCCCCTGGTTGACGCTCCTGCAGCGCCAGGTGATCCGGTCTCTGATCCATATGGTCCAATTTGGTGTCGCATACTTTATCATGTTGCTGGCCATGTACTACAATGGTAAGTTCTGCCCGTGCGACGACGATGAAGTTAAGAGCTGACCGCGAGAAGGCTACATTATCATCTGTATTATTATTGGTGCCTTTCTCGGCGCTTTTATTTTCAGTTGGGACCAACTGATGAACGAAGCCAAGTAAGCGCTGAAGGGTCTGTGCTCCAGGATCGAGACTAACTACTGGTTCGCCAAACAGTAAAAAGCCCGAACCAGCTGAT